TTTCTTTCTTTCTTTCTTTCTTTCTTCTTTCTTTCTTTCTTTCACCTCACTGCAGTATCGGATAGACATGGTGAGAGCATACATCCTTGCTTTCCTGATTTTAGGAACTAAATATAGTGTTAGCTCTAAGTTTTTCTATAGATGCTCATTATCAGGTTGTAGAAGTTATCCCTGGTTTTCCTAGTTTCCTGAGAGTTCTTTTTATCATGGATGAACGTTGGACTTATCCGTCTTTTTCTGCAATGACTTAATGTTCATGTACTTTTTCTTTTTTGGTCTGCTAACATGGTGAATAACACTGATTGACTTTTGACAGTGAACCAGCTTTGCATCCCCAACATAAACCACACTGGGCCATTTTCCCCTCAGCTCTGCTGAGTCTGTTGATGCCTCAGAGACATCCTTCATGTCTGTGATTGTGCCTTTCCATTTGATTCTTCCATATAGCCTCTGTCTCTATGCTGAATTACCTACATGACCCGGCACACTGCTCACCTTTTCACTAAAGCATCTGTCCCAAGTGAACACATGCTCATGTTTCTCAACATGGAGATTCCCATGTCCTTAGAATTTGGGTTGGTTGGTTGCCATGTGACCTCAGCTGTCTGATGGATTCCAATTAAGTTGTGAATTTGCAGAGTGTCCAGCATTTGGTCATTTAAATGGTAGGGGCAATGCTCTTTTTAGCTTTCTGCATCATTATCCATAATTGAATATTGAATATTGCTACAGAGAAAGACCTTAAAGTCAGCCTAATGCTTTCTCCCTTTTGGTCATGTGGTGGTCATTAATTCTGTTTAAAAATACTTCTAGCTCTCCAGCTTCCCTCAATGTGGTAAGATCGTACTTCCTAGTCTCCTTGTGGTTGTTCAGTGCCATGTGAGCAAAACTTCTATGTATCACTTCCAAGCCTGAGTATCCAGCGCTCTCTTTCCCTCTGGCATGGTAATAGGCGAGTTATAGATGGGGGCTGCACCATTAGTCTAGGTACTACAATGGGTAGAGCCCCCATAACTCACCCACATTTACTCACATTGGACATTTTAGCATGAGTGAGAACTAAACTTGTTGTTTTAACCCACTGAGATTTGGGGGATACTTGTTACCACAGCATAACCTAGCCCATCCTAGCTGATATAAGGCATCATTT